CTGGCAAAATAAATTAAAATATTTATGATGTGCTTCTGTTTTTTAATTCAGGAGATTATAAAAAAAATCCTTCATGTTATGAAAAGACCCTCTTGATTTAAGAGAAAACTCTTTTTTTTTTAAAGAAAATGTCTGCTTATCAATTAATTGTTAGGCAATCTATAAGATAAATCAACTTCAGATTAATTAATTTATTAACTTGCATCCCTAATTTATACTGGAATGAAATTAATATCTACTCATATTCTTGTAATTAAGCGTTTTAATGATTTGGTCGATTAATCAAAAAAACAATTGACAGATTAATAGATTAATAAAATAATTGTTAGTTGCAGCCCTAAAATCTATGTTTAGCAACTTACCTAATGAAATTGATGCTACAATGAGATGTCAAATAAAAGTACAAGCACTTGAGCTAAACCCAAATTATTAATGTTTTTTTTTATTTCTTGCCAGGCAGTAAAGAGGACACCACCACACTTCATGTGCTTTGCCTCTTAAAAGAGTTGATGGGAACGTTCCCTCTGGGAGCCGTCAAGTCCTGCTGTGAAACTCTGCTGCGCGTGATGACGCTCAGCCACGTGGTGAGAACAACAAAATATTTACAGGTGCAACCTGACACATTTCACTGCCTGATTTGAAGTTTTTAAAGCAACGTTTCTGCTGCGTGTGTGGCCGCAGCTGGTGACGGCCAGCGCCATGCAGGCGTTTCACAAGCTGTTCAGCGGGAAGCCGAACCCCTCGTCCCTTTCAGCAGAACTCAACGCACAGATCATCACGGTGAGAGAGCGCAAAAACAACAAACATGTTTTAATTCTGGTGGAATAGTTTGTATGTAAATGCTCTCTCACCAATCGTCTGCAGGCGCTGTATGATTACACTCCCAGTGAGAATGACTTGCAGCCTCTGCTGGCCTGGCTTGCTGTCATGGAGAAGGCTCACGTTCACTTGGCGAGGTATTAATGTGCATTTTATGACACTAGAACAGGTTTAGTTTGGGTTGTGTGTTTTTATTAATTTATTTTTTGGTGCAGTTTGCAGAGTTCTCTGAGTTTGGGCCACCTCCCTCGTCTTTTCTCCGCCACCATGTCCTGCCTGTTGTCGCCGCACACGCAGGTGGTTTCTACGGCTGCCAGCACACTAAAGGTAAAACACATCTGAGCTGAGTTATGAAGGTTGATAGGTTTGGGTTGATCTTTTAAAAATCAAATTATACGGTATGGGTGTGGGGGACATTATATAATTGTGTTGAGTAATTCATAATTACTGGGGAAATGGTTGCTTGTGAGCATTCCATGCATACAGCTTGACATCCTATATCCAGAGAGGCGTGCTGCTCTCTCCTGCTGCTCTGACGTGTTGCTGTCACTCAAAGAGCAGCAGGAGAGGAGGCACAGAATGGGTTTTGTCCCTTATTATGCGTCTTTTTAGAGTTTTAAGTTTCAAAATAATACCACTCTTACCACGATTGTTTCTGTGCTGCTGCATACTTTTAGACAGTCTTTGTGCCGATAAAGTTTGTAGATATTTCCTTCTCTGCAGTGAGGAGCTAGCACATCTTAGGGCAGAGAAATTCCCTCCACAAAGTTTAAATCCAACACGAGTCCAACTATTTGTTTGACTTATGAAAGCTGCAGCTAGGTGGTCCCTGAAGCTGCCGATCAGCAATAGCCGACCCACATTTTCAGGAGTCAGCGTTTCTATCACTACGTTGCACGGAAGTTAATAGGCGCCACAGATGGGGGTGTCCCTGTTACATAGATCTGTATAACATTGCTGTATTTTAATACCATCACTATATTTTAATACCATCACTATATTTTTATACAGTCAACATATTTTAATATGTCACTATATCTTAAGACAGTCACTATATTTTAATACCATCAATATTTTAATGTCACTATATTTTAATAGTCAAAAAAATTAATACCATCACTATATTTTAATACAGTCAACATACTGTACTTTAATATGCCACTAATACAATCACTATATTTTAATACTGTCACTATATTTTAATAGAGTCAAAATTTTTTTTAATACCATCACTGTTTTAATACAGTCAACATATTTTAATACCGTTGCTATATTTTAATACCGCGGTATACCAAAATATCTTGAATATAGATTTTCATCAAGAGTTCTTCCTTTTCTTCCCAGACTTTGTTGACTGAATGTGTTGCCCCTCACATGGAGGAAATGGGGATGATCACCACCTCGTCTGCAGGGAACCCCTCATATGTCTACAAAATGTTCCAGTATGATTCTTAACTGACGGAGAACAATATCTGCTTTCTGTGTGGTGGGATAAAAAAACCCATGATGGTTGTGTTTTGACTGTTTTCAGCATCGTAGAGGAAGGATTGTCGTATCGTTTCCACGCCTCCTGGCCCTTTGTTCTGCAGATCCTTGGCTGCTTTTATCGAGTTGCCGGAAAACAAGCTCACTCCATCATGACCAAGGTATACTGTACATGTGAAATATTACCCCAGCTGTTTATATGAAGAATAATGATATTTTAACCTGGTCTGTGTGATGTTTGGAACAGTCGCTGCAGTCCCTGGCAGACCTGCGCACCACTCCTCAGTTCCCCTACAGCGGTGAGTTGGACCTGGCCGTGGGAGCAGCTGTGGAGAGCATGGGCCCTGAGGTGGTGCTGGCTGCTGTGCCTCTCAACATCACCGGCATCAAGTAAGGGACCAGACACACAAACACCGTTGTGCTCTTCTCGTCACTGTGCTTTAAATAACATTATTTTTCTTGTTTTAGTGATAATTTGGAGTTCCCACGCAGCTGGTTGATCCCCGTCATACGAGATCACGTGAAGAACACTCGCCTTGGCTTCTTCACTTCCTATTTCCTCCCTCTGGCTTCTGTGCTCAAACAGAGAGGTTAAGCAGAGAAATATTCTGCTTGAAAGAACATTTTTGTGTTCTCACATGTATTAATTATTGAATCTTATTTTATTTAATTTTTTTAGCTGAAGAGTTTGAGCAAACAGGAAGGAAACTAGAAGCGAAAGTCTACGAGATGTTGCAGCTTCAGGTACGTTTAACTTGTCTCCTAGTTTTAACTGGATGCAGTAGTGAGCAACGTGAATAGTCTTGTTTCCAAACAACCAAACCAAGTCTACTAAAATTATTTTTTATTAAAGTGCTTATGACATGTATATCCTTCAAATATAGAAAGTGAAAGAAAACGTTATATTTAAGAAACTTTGCATAATGCACATGATTTTACTCATTTTATCACATAATTGGCATATTTTCTTTTGAACTTGGCTCAGCTAAAGTGAAACAGGAAGTGACCTCAAAGGGGAACTCTTTAAGAAAGACAACTCTGGTCTTTATCAAAACAATATTTAATCTTTAACTGTTCTTCATCTCTCTGATGGTGACTCAAAATAATCTAAAGAAACATCAGATTCTTCTCTTCAGTGTATGTTAGCTGTTGTAGCAACGCTTTGTTTACATGCAGAAATTCCCCTTTGACGTCACTTCCTGTTTCTTCACATGCAAATATCTCAACAACTGTTCATCTCGGCGGGGTGAAATTTGTTTTGCATTTTGTTATTAATGTTACATTTCCAAAAATGTGTTCATATTTATTAGAAAATTTTGATGTCACAGACCCTTTAACCCAGCTGCACTGACTTTGGTTTATTTCAGATTTGGACCATGCTTCCTGGTTTCTGCACATGTCCGGTGGACCTGATGGTGTCGTTTAAAGGCGTTGCCCGCACGCTCGGCATGGCCATTAATGAACGATCAGACCTGCGCCTCACGGTGTGCCAGGCGCTCCGCACCCTGATCAACAAGAGCTGCAGCACAGGTAACATGTTCAGATATAAATCTAAATGATTTACTGCAAACAACAGGTCGTTTCTGAACCTTTGCATCTGATTTACGTTTGAAGAGGAAGAAAAGGCTGAACTGGGACGTTTCTCGAAGAACTTCCTGCCCATCCTTTTCAACCTGTACAACCAGAAGCCAGCAGAGGGAGAGTCCGGAACGTACAGGATGGCTGTGCTGGAGACCATCAAAGTCTATTTAACCGTCACAGAAACGCAGGTGAGGAAACTTACTCTCATTGTCACTTACATTCTGAAACTGGTTTGTTCGTTCAGTTAAAGGGATCCCTGATTAGTTGTAACGTTAGACTTTATTTGATAAACATACATTTTAACTGTAAAATAAAGACTGTAAAAATACTGTAGTCTGTTTAGTTTTTATAATTTTAAAATATATTTTAACACGTACGGATCCATTTTATTTACACGCAAAGCATTCTGGGTAAATGATGATGTAGATAGGTGCGAGGCTGCTAGCGAGCTATATCCACCCTGAAGGTTAATCTTGGACAATATCTGATGCTTGACTCTTTTAAATGAAACCAGAGAGCGTTGACAGAGAGGAGAAGGTAGAAATGACTCAGCCTGTAACTGAAAATATGGATGGAGGACAACAGAGCTGCTTCATGGAAGAAGAACCTCAGCTTAGCCTGTTAGCCTTTGTGCTAACACCGATGCTATATTGCCTTATATGTATTAGCTCAGCGCTAGTACGACAAACAAGCTAAACTGAGGTCCTCCATCCATATTTTCAGTTACAGGCTGAGTCATTTTTGCGTTCCCCTCTCTGTCATGTGGATGGAGGACCTCAGTGACGAGAGGAGAATGTATAGCGCTGAGCTAATACATAAATGGTGAGTCATTTCTACCTTCTCCTCTCTGTCAACGCTCTCTAGTTTCATTTAAAAAGAGTCAATCATCAGATATTGTCCAAGATTAACCTTCAGGGTGGATATAGCTCGCTCACACCGAGGACGTATCCACATCATCGTTTACCCAGAATGCTTTGTGTGTAAATAAAATGGCCCTGTCCATGTAATATATTTTTAAATTTTTAGTTTAAAAATGATCAAAACTAAACAGCCTACAGTGTTTTTACAGACTTTATTTTACAGTTAAAATGTGTTTATTAAATAAAGTCTAATGTTACAACTAACCATGGATCCCTTTAAATGCATGTATGCTGCATTGCTAATTTAAACCATCTTCCTCAGCTGATCTGCACATTCTTACAAAAAGCTTCTGACATGTTGGCGAGCGCCGAGAGCACCGAGTTCACACGGTGGGATATAAATCTGGATTTACAGCTTAAATTGGTAATAAAAAAAAARGATTTAAATCTCAAGCTTTCTGTTTGCCTCCTTTTCTTTTGGCCTCATCCTCCTCTCAGGCTGGCAGTGATGGACCTTGTGGTCGCGATGGCTCCGTTTGTCGATGAGCTCAGCATGACGAAAACCTTTGAGCTTATTAGACCATATTTAGAGGTAAAGGCACACGATGTGCACATGTTAGTAATCCGGCGCTGTTCGGGGACGTTTCTTGTGTTGAGTGTTGGTGGATTTGTGTCCAGGCCAAAGAGCCCGGCATGCAGAAGAAGGCGTACCGCGTGCTGGAGGAGATGTGCGGCGCAGAGAGAGACGAGTGCAGAGCCTTCGTCGCGTCTAATCTGGAAACACTTAAACTCGTCCTGCTCGACACTCTGAAAAATGCGTCTTCGCCAGCAAAAAGGGTGAGGTCTTTGAATGGAGGGCAGCCAAGCAAACAAATCAYTGATTTTTTTATAGTTTTACATTTTCACTATTTCAAAACTTTTTTTTCGCCCCACAGCCCAGACTGAAGTGTCTCATCCACATCGTGAAAAGATTAGATGAGAAACACAAAGACTTCATCACCGCCCTGCTGCCAGAGGTAACGTCACCAATAAGAGCTGGAACAGGGATGGCAAAAAAAAAAAGATTCCCCCTTTTTTATGAGTTTTCTCCTCTTTTTTTCTTTCAGGTGATTATTTGTACCAAAGAGGTTTCTGTTGCAGCTCGTAAAAACGCCTACACTCTGCTGGTGGAAATAGGAAAGGCTTTTGTTCGTTTTTGTGGAAACAAAAAAGGTGATGCGTTTATGTGAGACTCATTCTCATTTTAAAGATCTGACAGTTAGGGTTGGGCAATATTGTCAAAAAAAAAAGAATCATGATTAATTGTGGTATTTAGCCGATAACTATTAATTTGACGATTAATCCCCTGGAGTCCCTGGACAACCTTATGTCCTGGTCACATGACCAATTTAGTGGGAAAGATTTGCTCTTCGTAAAAATCTGTTCCAAATTGTCAAAGTTACAGACTTCAGGCTATGCAGCAAATTTTAAATTGTATTGATAGATAAATAAAATTACAGTACTTTTTCTTTTAATATTCATCATATTTGAAGCGGAGAGGAGCATCAAGATGACTGACTGCCTGCCTAGTGGCATTAATCATTTTAATCAAGTGCCAAAAAAATAATCGATTAATGTTTTTAGTTTAGTTTAATTTATTCGTTCATTAAAAAACAAAGCAAATTCAGTAAATAAAAAAATACAACTGAAAAGTAAAATGAAAGGCAGCAGAAGGAAGAAAAAATTTGTAATATCTGCACCTTTTTCCATCAATAGAAATTCAAACAATGATAAAAAAAACTGAAAAAAATAATTAATAAAAAACTAAAATCTTTCTCAGACAATTTTTAAAGATACATATTATGTCATTTCATATTTCTTCAACAGACTGGAATTTACCATTCTCCTAAACTTATACATTGATCCTGCACTTTTAATATTCTCCAGATTAGTCCACAATTTTATTCCTTGATTTGATTTATTGATTTAACAGGAAAAGATTACTAAAAATCAAGCCTGACTCAGCATAATTGCTGTTTTACAGCAGGTTCCTGTTCTGCAGCACATAAAACACTCAGAATTACAGCATCACAATCACATCATTATACACCGTAGACACAAAGACAAACAAGCATAACAAATTTCAAGAAGGCAGCATTTGCAAAATAGGACGTCTAAATATGAGCACAACAAAAAGTGTCCAGCAGATGGCAGACAAGATTCTTCTTAAAGGGCTGCAGTTTTGAAATGACTTTATGTTTTGAGGAATGTCATTCCATGCTTTAGTATAAACATAGAAGAAAGACCTCTGGCCATAACAGTTTTTAAAAGTTGGTAACATCAGTTGTCCTTTTGTAACAGATCTAGTTGAATGACCACTTCCAGAATTTGATTTGGGCAGCAATGCACAGAGAGTTCCATAATTGGCACCTTGGAAGATCTGAAAATATAAATTAATACCACTATACAAAACATAATTCTGAAAAGTCAAGGCATCAGACAATGAAAGAACTGTACAGTGATGAGTCCAACCAGGAAGTTTTTTATGAATTTTGTAGGCCCTGTTGTAGAGCCTAACTATGGGTTCTAAGATTTCATTTGTTGTAAGAGACCAAACAGGTAAACAGTACGACATGGTTGAGAGTATAATGGCATGAAGATAGATATTTGAAACAGAAGATGTCAGATTGGATCTAATTTTTGAATAAATGTATAATTTCTGTTTCAATMTAGTGGTTAAGACTTGTACATGATCACGATAAGTCAAAAGAGAATCCAAAGTAATTCCAAGATATTTGTAGGTAGTGACAATATCAAGGGCTTTGTTTAAAAAAGTGAGTTGATTTGTTATATTGAAATGTCTCCTGGGTGAGGAAAATACATGCACACAGTTTTTTAACATTAACTGACAAAAGATTATCTTGAAGCCAACCATGAAATGTCTGAAGATCTGCTTGTAACTGACTATTAATAGATTCAATATTGTGAAATCAGACAAAAAAAGAACAGTATCGTCAGCATACATTAAAATATTTGAATACTTCAATATTTTTGGAAGGTCATTTATGTATAATAGGAAAAACAATGGGCCCAGTATGCTACCCTGCGGAACTCCTACGAAACAGGGCAGAGATCCGGACACAGAGCTTCCATGTTTCACAACCTGACACCTATCAGTCAAATAAGAGGAAAACATTTGCATAGAAGTACATGGTTCCTTCAAACTAGTTCGGATTTTAGGTTTCACAAACACCTCTGTCCCTTTTTTAAATTGTAGCAACTCTGTCTCTTAACAAAACTTTATTGGATGTTCAAAGGTAGTTTATTTTTATGAGCCTTATACATAATCTGCAAAATGTTGTAATCAACCAACTCATAGAATTTCAATAATTTCAACTGACAAAATAATGTATTTGATGGGTAATCATAATGGTTTTTTGTGATAATTCTTGTAGCTCTTTTCTGCAAAATAAAAACAGGACGATTAATTGCACACGATATGATTATGCCCAATCCTACTGACAGTTAAAATGTTAATGTTAAATAACTTCCTCTGCAGATGCCATGGAGCAGTTTTTGGTCCTGATATTTGCAGGACTCACGGGCTCCGTCACCATGATCACGTGCACCGTCTTGGCACTGACGCGTCTCGTGTTTGAATATAAAGGTAAGCCTTGTAGGTGATTTAAATTAAAAAAAAAAGGGTAACAAGCTTGTTTAATCTGCTGCTTTTATTTCTCTTTCAGACTCTATAGAGGTGTCCACGTTGGAGCAGCTGCTGCACAACGTCTGTCTGCTGCTGTCGTCTCGCACCAGAGAGATCGTCAAAGCTTCTCTAGGCTTCATCAAGGTCATCCTCTTCATCATGGACTCCAAAACGCTGGCCTCACACGTCACGGTCATGGTATGGATTGAAAGTTGTAGTTCCTCAAAGTCTTATAGAGCGATTGTCAATTTAAGGGACCATTTGACTCAATCTGAAGCATGGTCACATGTTTTTTGAGGTTTGTTTTTGCACACACCTTTCATAGCTCCTAGGACACACCGTGCCTGGAAAAACCAAAGGAACTCCAATATCTGCCCTTATTTTGTCCACAAATCCGTCTTCGTTAAAACTCCACACTCTGCAGATGTGTTACTTTGTACATGTATGTATTATCTCCATCCATGAGCATTTGGCCATTTGACTTGTCTTTACAAATGTTTGCTTCCGGGTAAGTTTGGATTCTGGAAACAAGCAGTTAAATCAAAAATGCAGCGTTCGATTGCTTTCCACGTAAAACAAACACGGCCACAAACTTCTGATTGATCACACAATAATTTCTTATGTGGAGGAGGAAAACTTCTCCAGGCGAGTTGTTACAAGAAAAAGTGAAAAACTCGACACAGAATAAAAATGGTGCAATTTTCATCATGTAACTGCGACGAGAGTCTTTCGATCTGGAGTCTCCACCCTAGATTGTTTAATTATATTGTTTTTGTACTGTTTATTTATTCAAAAAAAATTTTTTTTCTCAAGGTTTTTCGTAAACCATAGCACAAAAATGGTTGCACCGATCAATGTGAAGTTTTGTAGGAGAATAAACGTGTCCGAAATACGCTGCACCACCCAACGATTTTACAATAGACCTTATATTTGGGGAGGGGGCTCCACCTGAAAAGTGGATGTCTGGACATACAAAAATGCTTATAACTGAAGAACTATTTAACACAGGAGCTTCGGATGGTTGTTGTTGTTGTTGTTGTTGTTGTTGTTTAGCTCTGATGAAGGGCTAGCCATCAGGCCCACCAATGTGCCCCCACCCCTTCCGGAACCTGACCAAAACATTAAATCTGTTCTGATGACTTCTGAGTTCTGGTGCATTGGTGCTTTGCGGATGTGCAGAAGTCATATATGCTATTGCTAAATGGTATCTAGATTTTGTTATAAATTCATCACGTTTTGTTGCACTCAGATGGAGGGCATTGGAAACATAAAGGATGATGTCAGAAGACACTTCAGAACCAAACTGAAGAATATCTTCACTAGGTTTATCAGAAAGTTTGGGTGAGCGCTTCAACATCTTTATAGTCTAGAAAACTGCTCTCCTCCATTTATCTTAAAGCTCTCACACTGAGATTTTTCTTTTTTTTTAAATTATTTCTAGTTTTGAGCTGGTGAAGAACATGCTGCCCGCAGAACACCACAAGGTGCTGGCAAACATCCGCAAGGCCGAGGCTCGAAGCAAGAGACGAAAACAGGCAGCCGAGGAGCACGACGACTCTGAGAGCGAAGACGAGGCACCTAAAACCAAGAGCGAGAGGTACAGTGCAGCTCCCAACACAAAACTACCCTCTCGCTCTTCTGCAGATTTTCTCCTAAAACGGCTTTTCTCTAATCCAGCATCGAAGACATCCTCGCCGAGTCTGACAGCGATTTGTCCGAGGACGAAGGAAAGCCTCAGAAGAAACTGAGCAAACAGCAGAAAGGACGGGCGTGGCTTAAAGAGGGCGAGGAAGACGACCCGCTCAACTTCCTGGATCCGAAGGTTTCCCAGAGAGTTTTAGGTAACYCGCCTGGGTCCTGATAGCTGCTGTGGACACGATCACCAGGTTCAGTTGAATAAAAAAATGATTTGTGCCGTTTCTCAGCTACAAACCCATCTCTGAAGAAAACTTCCAAGGTCAAACATGGTTTCAAAGTGACCTCAGATGGACGACTGATTATTAGAGAGGACGATGAGGAGAATGTGAAGGACAAAGGTAAGAGCAATTCGTTTATGTCTTTATTTAATGTCAAAAGAGTTGGTGACAATCTGTTATTTTTCACAGACAAAAACGAGATGGAAGATATTCTTGAAGAGGCGGGAGTCAAAAGTGTAAGATTTCACTGTAGCTACTATAAAAAAGAGCAAGTTTGGGAACTTAAAGGTGATTTTTATTTACGTTCCGTCCTTTAACATTTGCAGAAAAAGTCCCAGAAGAGGAAAATTAAAGATGACGACTTCGATGAGGATATGGACACTGAACCTGGGCTTAAATATAAAGGTAACTATTAAAAAAAAGTGTTTGGAAGTTGGATTCTGGCAGCGTTTGATGTTGATGAGATTCATGTTTTGTTTTCAGCTGGCGGCTCAGGAATCCACAGACCTCTGGGACGAAGCCAAGATATGGGAGCTGATTATAAATCAAAGGTGAGCGTGCTCAAAAAAAACATAGCTGTGGTGGTTTGGAGGTCAGAAACAGTCTCTATAAATATTTTTTTTGGACTGACAGAAAGGAAAAGGAGATGTGAAGAAAAAGGGGAAGCTTGATCCTTACGCCTACATCCCTCTGAAGAAGGATCAGCTCAATCGTCGGTACGAGCGCCGCGCGGTTCTGTTCGCGGACAAAGAATCGGCTCCTCACAATATTTCTAATTCCTGCGTGTTTTGTTCCGTGTTCACAGGAAGCGGGCCAAACTGCACGGCCAGTTTAAGGGGATGGTGCGAGGAGCCCAGAAGGGGGCGCTGTCTGGAAAGAAAATGCAGAAGAAAAAAAGGAAAGCCTGAAGCTCAAGTTCATATTGAACAGACTCTAAATAATGTGCTGTGATCTGATCTGTAACATGATGAAAAGAAGGTCACACACTCTGGATGTGATGGAGTGTTTACAAATTTTTTTTTTGTGTTTTGTCTTTAAACTGTGCCGTGTTTGAAAAGCTCCAACCATAAAGCGGCTTTCAGAAAGTATTTGTGCGCTGCGCCAAACCGTTTTTTAAATGAATGCATGAATGGAAACTATCAAACCAAATGGAATTCTAAATTTGGACCTGGTTTATCGCTCACTACTGAAAAGCTAAGGAAACTTTCAGGAAATAATCAGATGCACAGCTTCAAATTATTTACTTTTGAAGCCAACTCAATTCAAGATGGCCACCGCAGCTGAATGATCTTTGAAAACACAAGAAATAATTCTATCATTTTTTACAGATATTCTTCTAAAAAATGCTGTGGTAGCAGAGAGTCTATAAATAACTCATCGTCCAAATCTGGCATGAAGGAAAGCAGGCGATTATTTCTTTAAAGAATGCTGATGCTGACTAGTTCACTAATTTATTTGGGCTCTGTGTTGCTGCATGCTTGTAAACTGCAGAGTAAACCATTCAAGAATACAAGAGTAACCTAAACTCATAATTACAGTTGTTTATTAACTGAAACATGAACTTTTTTTTATCCCGTTTCTCATCAGAAACCCAGTTTAAGTTGTCGGTTGTTGTGTTTGGAACAGCTGTAGGTTGATTTGCTGACAGGACCTCACATACCATTACCCTCGTGATTTATTTTCCCAGATAGGTTGCAGCGCAGTGAGTCATGGAGCGACAGGCTGACCTCCTAATCACATTCGTATGTGTTTGGGGTTTTAAGTCAGCGTTTCATGGGAAGGAAATGATTCAGGAGATTCTTAAAACCTGGAGCCTGTGCTAAGAAACTGTGTCAGGATTAGAAACCATCAGGTTCAACTCCTTGTTTTTGGGGAGTTTTACAAAGCTGATTCACTTGTCTTCACAAGTTGCTGTTTTGACTCCTAAAAATAAAAACAACTCCCACACTGTCAGGAAATTATATAACCAACAGTTCAAATGGAAAACMGTCCTCATGCACGATGCTGCATTCGTTCTCACATCTGTAAAACTTCCATTGATGCCTAATGATTCGTACAGATTTTGGAGCAACATATCCACTTTTTTTGTTAACAGTCATTAGTAAACCACATCCTGCATGTACTAAAACAGCGTAACTTCATTTTATATAAATAGGAACTGCAACAAAAATGGTGAAATTTGCCCTATTACTGCACCTAACCCATTATGACAAGGTGAAAGCATGGCTTTAAAACCAATGAGCTCTTTCAAAACCTGTTCTTTATCCTGCTGCAGGACAGTTAGCCTCGTGTACGCGTAGATTTATCAGCGTAGAAATGTTTTCCTGAAATTATAATTAAGCCATTTAAAACCTTGGATATATGATCAGTTTTGCAGGTTATTTGGCTGCATGTTCCGGATAGATAAAAACAGCAGTGAAAGTGTAATTTGTGTAATTAAAGACATTGCATCAAATGTTGTTGTGTCTTGCAAAATCCAATTAACTAATAACGTGTTTTCAGGTTGATTTACAACCACAAAAAAAATCCCCCTATCCTTTTAATGGCTGAAAGAATTCACTGCCAGACAGCAGATATGTAAAAAAAAAAAAAAAATTCTTTATTGAAATCAAAATTGTTAACGAAATAATGCCAATGATCATTTCATGTCAAAAAAATACAGAAAACCAAACCCTGAAGATGCTAATTTTCAATGTAGTTTTTACCGTTTACATCCTCCACCAAAATGCTTCCTAAACCCTGCTCTGATTCAGCCCCACTGATTAAAAAAAACGACAAAGCCACCAGATTCTAAGCAGAAAACGGAGTATATTACAATAAATAAAAACTTAAAAAAAAACTGCCCTGCAGTTGCAATAGGATCGCTGAACTCTTACACTAAATTTTAACTATAAGTTGTAGACAAAAACATTTTATTTGTTGAAAAGGTATAATTACAAATGAATTGTCGACACTCAGACTGGCTGTGTAATTACAAGACAAAGCCAACATAACTGACATCACTAATATTTTGTCCACATGCTGTATTTCATTACACCTCCTCGCTCTAAGATTACTGCATGCAGATCCACAAAGTCTGTTTTACTTTTTGATTTCATCATTCAGATATCAACTGTCAAACTAACCCACAACAACAATGAAGGATTGCACTTACACTTACCATCTTAGTCAACAGGCCTCAGCTGTACATACAAGGCCTGATTAAATACTTTTTTTTTTCTGTTCCTCATACCTGTTTTTTTGTGTATCGGTTTAGTCCTTGATGAAACTCAGTAGCTGATTTTGACATCMGATACGTTTTGCTGTCCAGCAACAAGGCACAGAGCTCAACACCTCTGACCTGGAAGACTTTCATCTTTGGTGTTTGGCCTTGAAATGGGGGTATTTTTTATTACTATTATTATTTTAATGGTATAACATCCCTGTTTTGGATTTATTCTCTTACAGCCTTGGCGGGGGTCGAGATGGTGGGGGGACCAGAAGGCCCGGTGGCGCACGAGCTGGGGGTGGGCCCGGCAGAGGTCGGGCCATGGGAGGGGGCGCGCGGGAGGGAGGCGTGGTGACGGGGGGCGTCACGGTGCGCGGCCCTCTCGACGGAGGCTTCGTACGGGGGACCGAGTTGGACACTAGAGGTCCCTCCTCGTCTGACTGAGGAGGCGTGGGAGCCGAGGTGGAGTGAGGCCTCAGGGGGGTCGCCTGAAAATTCGAGGACTCCTCTTTGACCCGCTGAAAACGAATACAGCGACCCTGCAGAGGAGAGACAAAAAGGGTTAAAGCTAAACTGCCCGTCAGCTTGAACAGCATTTGCTTTTCTGCAAAAAAAAAAAAAAATCAACAAGCTTCTTAGATCCAGCAGCTAAAACAGTTTGTGTGAAACTTTACACAGTTTGCAGACAAATGTGTGCGTGTTCGCAACTCCGAGGGCACACAGAGACACCTGTTTTCTGTCACCTGCGCTAGAATAGCTGTGATGTTCGTAAATAGAACCTCTAAAGTTTTACGCACACAGCTTTACTATTCTCCAGCTAACTCTTCTAAAATGCAGAACAGATAGCAGGTTTCCAATGTGCCTGAGTTAAAACCACAAAAAGAAATCATTTAAATATCTCCGCAATAGATCGGAACGTTTAGCATAATTTACACATCTGGGAGAATGAGAGGCTTATTGTCCTCACTGATGGATTTTCATCACACATARACTTTTGCCTTGTTCCACGTCACAGACCCTTGGTGGTCTGATTATAACACATTATTAAGCAGAGAGGCCCTAAAGTCGCACAGAGGCCGTTAAGAGGACCCAGCAGCAGTAGCTTTGCGACTGAAGGGGCCATTGTGTCTTCACGTGTTTATATGAGGGGTGTGTAATTGATGGAGGGTCGCTCAGACTGTGGTGGTGCGTGTTGCTGGGCCGCGGTGAAAAGGCCAGTTTGTGAGCAGCAAGAGCAGCAGCACAACACAAGACAGAGCATATGGACACAATGAGAACACAAGCTCATGAATACGAGTGTATTTATAAGTGTGTGTGTGGGTGGGGGGGTATGATGGTAGGTATGCTTCCACCAGAGCATATGGCCTGAATGAAACCTCATGAATAAATAGAAAGAGACAAAGGGTAGGAGGTGCGGTGGAGGAGCAAACCGAAAAGCAGAGAGCTGAGCAGTTTTCAGCGCTCAACAGGATGACGTGCACAGAAATAAGCTGCGAGTTCAGCAGTGTGTCACTGGCTGTGGTTGGTCTTTCCGTGCGCCCCCTTCGGCTGTGTGTCAGGGCTGCATTCCTTCTTGTGGCGATTGTTTACTTCAGACCCTGAACTCTTCCTCGGAAGAAAAACAGAACCTCCGGCGGCCCTCTTCACACCGCTCGTCTGTTCTTGGCTGCTCTCTCAAACCCCGAAGACTTTGCCCTTCGTTCCGACACAAGGCAGATTGTTTGTGGATGTTTACTGGGAACTGATGCACTCGTAGATAGTTGTTTCTGTCACCAGTATAATGAAAAAAAAAAGAGAAGGGGAAACAAATCTGATCTGACAGCGTTGCCTGATCACAGCGCCAACTGCTACATGTGGACTTGTAAAAGTTATGCCATATTTATAGTTGGGAATCAATAAGGCGTTAATTAGCTTCCACTGTACTATGCTGCACAAAGCTACATTAAATGAGTTGATTCTTTAGGAGAATTAAGAAGAAAAAAAAAAAAAGAAATGCTCCTTTGTGCTGTCTGGGTGTTCAGAGGGAGGGTTGGTGGTCGCCCTCTGGTCCATCGATGCCTTCAGCTCTGGGGACAATAGAAGTGAATCTCATCTGTCATTATGTGGCTCGTGGCCTTTCAACTCCCCCATCTGTTTGTTCCCTGTGGAAACCTAACACCGATGGATGCATCATCAGGAGGTTAAAAATAAAAAAAGAAGTTAAAATGCAAACATGGAGTGTGGCAGAAAGTGACAGTCTGCTGACGGTCYTTTGCAGAGGAAGTGATTTAGGAGCAACAAGCCACAGTCTGATAGCTGCTTACTGTTTTTGTTGCCTCACAGCTGCCCAGTTCCTCCTTATGGATTTACAATCATCTTTCTACTGTCGAAGAATTTAGATGTCAGCTTGGTTTAAAAAATTAAAAAATAAGTAATTGCTTCAGGTTTTTCTGCACGACCATCACAGCTGAAACAAAAGTAGCATTTTTCTTTCACTCTTATTTTCCTCAGTGTGAGCTGTAGCTTTTCATTTTCCTCAGTTAATGACGCGTGAAGGGATTCGATCATTGTTGAATGGATCTGAGAACCACAGTCCCACGGAAAGTGGCTGAAAGCCTCCAGAAACTTCTGCCCTAACAGACGCTRTATGTTCCACAAAAAAAAAGACATGAATAAAAATGACAGATCCAGTAATGTTCCACTTTTTCAAGGCTTCATATACAGTCGACACACACACCAACACTGTTACATAAAGAAGAAGAATTGTGTCATTCAAAGCACAAATCAGTGAATGAGACGGCTCTGGCTGTATCGAGTGACAATGACACTATTTATAACGGTGCAGATGTTTCCCCATGACAACCAGAATGATGGTGAAAACACGACTTTGGGGTTATGGGATGACATTCGCAGGGTCAAGGTTAGAAAATAGACATTTTTTTTACACATTTGTAAAAAAACAGCCACATTTTAATTTATAACCTAATTATATCTTTTTTAGTTTTAAAACATCAAATATGTATTRAAAGTCAAAGCAGTGAATGTAACTTTTGCAACAGGAAAGCTTATTTGCAGGGATTTACAGGGGAAAGTATAAAAGACAACTGTACTGCTTGTGTGTGAACAATCACAGCTTTGACGAGGCGAGGGGCATCAGAGGCTCTTTGACTCAGTGTGAATGTGAGAGCACACGGAGGAGCAGTGTTGTATAAAGTATCYCAAAGTGATCCTTGAGTAAAAGAATCTTATAAAATTACTTTGGTAAAAGTTAAAGTCTCCTCTGAGAGTATTTCTTGAGTAAAAGACTTAAAGTACCTGATTTATTTTGCAATTAAGTATCAAAAGTCAATTTCTGACATAAAATGTACTTAAGCATTAAAAGTAACAATACTGAGTAAAAATGAGAAGCTAGATTTTCCAAATATATTTTTTAAAGGCGTGCAGCTGTGATGGATTGTGTACAAACTAATATGTGCCATAATGGTATATATTTATACTCCTCATTCAACCACAATTAAATTCAAAGGCACAGTTTATCGGGATACATTTTTTTAACAATAAGCTGGAATAAAATAGGAGTAATGACTTTCTACTTCTTACCCTTTTTTTTAAATGTAGGAAGTAGAAAGTACAGATAATTGTGTGAAAATGTAAGAAGTAGAAGTAAAAAGTTGGCTGAAATTAATTTACTCAAGTAAAGTACAGATAACCAAAATTTCTACTTAAGTACAGTAACAAAGTATTTGTACTTAGTTACTTTACAACTCTGTGGAGGAGAGCAGAACGTCACTCTATAACACAGATCTGGAAGCTTTCTGTTCACAACAGAAACAACCATCCCATTACAACATCTAACTTACCATTTAAAACTGATTGTGGGGTGTTTACAGAGCAATCATCCAGATTACACAAAACTTTTAAATTGCAGATGTTTGAGCCGTAATACTTGTTTAGGATAGCGTGAAAGCGGGCTCACCTGATCTCCAGGCTGCGGTCTCATTAAAGATACCTGGTCGTAACCTCGTCTGAACAGAGCCCACAGAGCATCGAGTTTCCCCTGAAAATACCAGAGAGCAAAATTCWTTTAAAATGAAAAATCCCTGTGAGAACCAATTTAAAATAAAAAAGAACAAAAATAAAACACTAACCTGAATGGGGGAGTACCACTTCTTCTGCTGAGGAGGACGGCGGGGAGGTTTCCGAGGCTTGGGCTCGTAAGGTTCAAACTCCTGCTCCGGCATCTTCACAACTGCGTTTTTAGGTTTGTCCAGTTTAGCGCCTTCCTCGGTCGACCCTTTCTCCCCCCATCGCACCTTTCAAAAGGATCGAGCAATTATTAGGAATTAAACTTACGTTTAGCTTCTACAGAAATGTGAGGATTTATTTGTACCTCCATGCGTTTGATGCCACCCACTCCTCTTCCTCCGTAATATGAAGCATCCACTGTGGGCCACCTCTTCTTGGGCATCCCATCATCCTCATCTGAATCCTTTTATTGAGAGTTTTCTTGTCATGCAACTTATATAGAATATATA